AAAAAAAAAAAAAAAAAAAAAAAAAAAAAAAAAAAAAAAAAAAAAAAAAAAAAAAAAACGACACGAAGACCAAGGAGCCGAAACGAACGGAAAAGGAAAGAAATATAACAGCAGCTCTTGTAACATAGGGTTCGGGGTGAGGCTTTTGGTGAAAAGAATTAGTATTGTATGGGCTGCGGTGGACGTTATAGAGGTGATGCTGCAGAAAAATAGAGAGGGAGTTTACGACGTCGCACGTTGCGAGAGAGCACATATCCGGTCTCTCCTATTCTATATACACTCTCCGAAAGCGAGCGCGCGTGTGTCATCTCGTTTCGAAGCCCGGCACTTTTTGCACGCCTCATTGTGCGTATTAGGTATACCGTGGCGCGTCACCCTGAAATTTAATATATAGCTCGCGTACACCGCACCTGAAAATCTCCCCTTCTTTCTCCTTGCGTATGACATACTGTATAAACATTCGGGCTCGCCGTCGCGATAATCATGTGTCACACCCGTCACTTTGACGACAATTGTCGTTAAAGAAACAGCCAACTCGAAATTGCATTTTTTTTTTTTTCTTTCTACATGTAGTGGTCAGAGAGAGAGAGAGAGAGAGAGAAAAGCAGTGCCGTTTTTATTGCGCTCGTAAAACAAAGTCATAGTGAATCAGTGCTTGGAGGAGAAAAGGATTTACTCCAGATTTATAGCTGTTTTTGTCTCTATATTGACCGACCCATTGATTTTTCACTTCTCAAGAGCGTTTACAGCTCGGCGTATATATACTTATGCAGTAACGATGACAATTGGTTGGTGTAATTATGTACACTCATCAGTTTTCCCGCTAATCTCTTCCTCCCCTCCTTCTGCTGGCAAACGAAAGAAGAAAAGAGAAAAAAAGCACAATGTAGATTTAAAATCGGCATAAATCGCTCGGGCGTCGTTAAGAGCAACAACACACGGGTAAAAAGTATGCGGATGAGCAAAGAAAGCCGGAAGGAGAGGAGAGGAAGAAAAAAACATTTTTTTTTTTTTTTTTTTTTTTTTCGGGAGACAAAACACCCGGGGGCTGGATCTCTCGGGGGACCACGGCGACGACGAGAATAGTGCACCTTTCGTGGAAACGCATCGGCTTTCGGAATTTCGTTCATTCACTCCCTCCCCTTTCATCCTCTCCGCTCGTTCATTCATCCGTGCTCCGGCCACCTATACATATAATTATATGGGTGTACATAACAAAATACATGGGCCCCGAAAAGCACCTCGTTATTCTTTCCTCCATCCTCATACGTACATTAGGTGTATTGTCATCTGCCGCAGTTGGACTATTATATATACGGGATATATCGTTCCGGTGGCTGCGCATAAATATACTTACCTATGTGTACTCGTGCAAGGGAAACAAGTGGACGAGCAGAGATGATATAGTATACAGTGGCACGCGTGGGGGGTGTACTAAAAATATGAAGAAATATAGCGGTCGAAGACACGGAGCCGCGGAAGAGAGTTGTTTGATCAATTTGCGACTCTGCTCGGCTATTACTTTTTTCTTCTTCTTCCTCTGTTTTTTTTCTTTTCGCTCGCTTCTGTCGGGAGACGGGACTGCTTAATGTATACATGTCTCGGGGCAAAGAGATAGATGCACGGCCGATAGAGAGAGGCACAAAAAACAAAGGGATATATACACGGTAGTCTCGCTACACCATGTATACGTATTTGCGTTGGTACCGCGAAAAGAGAAAGAGAGAGAGAAACCAAGGCGAAGAGGATAAGTAAAAAGCGATGAGGGGTAGGGAGCCCCAGGTATATATTATTATTATACAGTGTATTGTAAAAGAGACGATGGAGAAGAAACGGTACCGCGCCGAGATAACGAGCGCGTATTATTACCTATATACATATAACAATTAAAGTGACCGCGGTGCACGACAATGCGACAGTGCGCGCAATGTAGATATTATATACGTTACAGGGTAGAGAGATAAAATCCCTCTTAATAAGAAGAAGAGGTGGTGTAAGTAAGTAGAGCGAGCGACTATAGAGTAATATGAGGTGCCATCGTATAGAATGATACCGACCTTGCACGCCGGGCCGCGCCAAGTGCACGAGCAACACCATCAGCCAAGGCAGCATCACCGGTTTCTCCATTGTGAATATCGGCTTTTATCTTCTCCTTCTTGTAATTGGTATAATTATTACTATGCTCTTCTTAAACCAATGGACACTGCATAACTATATAATAATGTTAAACGCGCGAAATCCACAAGGAGCGAGAGCAAATATACGTGTGTATTTAGTTATGCTTGAAAACCGCTGTACACCATCTATTGCAATATTGTAAGTATAGGTACGTGTCGGTGGTAATTTTCTTTAGATCCGTAGGCTGGCGGGTATATACCCAACACCAAGTGCAAAACTTATATAGCGGCACTCGTTGCACGTACACTCACGCGCGTAGATGTAACGCCAACGGAAAATCGGTATGAAACAGAGCGTGCGAGAAAGCAGGAGAAGTCCGTTGCTCCTTGTAATTTTTTTTTTTTTTTTTTTTTTCCCGCGACTAGCATCGAGCGGCGCAAAACGTGTAAAGTATCATCCTCTTTTCTTGACAGTCGTCAGCTATCGGCTGCGGATGCCATCGGGCGCTAGGCCCTGCAGGTAGCCACCAGGCCCGCACCTCGCGTGCATGCCTGTATTAATTCCGTCTTCTCCGCTGCCCTCGCGATATCTCGGCACTCCACCTTCACTTTGTTGCAAAACACCGCCGCCCCGCTCCCTTGCCGATCTCTCTCTCTCTCTCGATTGCTTACCGATACGTATATGTATGTATGTATGTATATAGACACACGCAAGCGCGCACACCCGTACGGATAATACTCCTCTTCTTCCGTTAAATTACCGTATCACGATGACGAGCCGATTTTTTTTGTAATCGCGCCGTCACCCACGGGTTCTTTTAATTTGTTTGATAATTGTAACACCAGAAGCGCGCGTGGCGCGCACGCTTTTCCCAGCTCGACCGAGCGATCTCACCGCGCGCGCTCGTCTGAGGTGATGTGTATAATATACGTGTGGGCCGGCTCGCCCGCCTGCGCTTGGTGCGCTCTACACTCTCTCTCTGGTATACCAGAGGGGAATATCCGGAGGGGGAGCGAGAAAGAGAGAGAAACAGATCTCTCCCCTCCAGGCGCGCGCCCACTCTCTTATTTCCTATTTCCCCCTTTCTCGATCCCTTGCCATTTATTTATTTATTTTTTTTTTTTTTTTGAATTTTTTGACGAGTGAGTATAACTTGTTTCCTTCACCCGCTATCAACTTTTGGTTCCTCTTCGTCTGCAGTCCGCTCCCTTGCGTCCGGTCCTCTTTTTGAAAAAATCGGCAACAGCCCGATCGAGGTCAAGTTCGCAATCGGTAAGAAATCGGTGGTTTTTTTTTTTTTTCAACCTACGAGCGCGGAAAATTAAAAATCGAGCCGAGATCGATCACCTGTATATATACCTACGCGCACCGGAGAGAAGGGAAGGAGCAAAAGGGAAAAAAGGCCCCCATGAATAATTCACGGAGCCCGGCGATGAAGCTGCAAAACGAGAGCCCAAGTTTTCCGTAACGCACAAAAATTGCCTCTGGGGGGGGGGGGGGACGTCAATATACTGGGCACTCTCGTGTTTTTTGTTATATTTTATCATGTACCCATACACCGGCAAACATCTACATCATCGGCAGCAGCTCGTCGGCTCCCCTCATAGAAAGACAACCCGACGCGCCCTGGCGTCGCCAGCCGTATACACCTACATGATATTATACAAAAAGGGCGCAGGAAGAAGAAGAAGAAGAAACTGGGGGATGGCCTTGCGAGGGTTATATTATACACCGTAAAAAGCCGAAAAATATACGTGTATGGGTATTGTGTGATGTGCTCTGCCGAGGGGAAGGACAACCGCAAAACTTGGTCTCCTCCTCCGCAGCGTTACTCACTCCTTCTGCTTCCTCCTTATCCTCCTCCAGCCGAGCTCCGATGATGCGCGTCGGCTCCCGCGTCTCGAATGACTCTTCTCCCGTTTCTTTTCATCCTCTCCCATGTACGCAGCAAGTGTCGCAGATGCCCCGTTCGATTCCGCCCGCGGGTATTATTTTATTTACTTTTTTTTTTTTTTTCGCACGGGCTAACCCCTCCCCCCAGCTAATAATAATGACCCACACCATGTCTCAGTGGGTACACATGGTTCTCGGGGGGGGGCTCTCGAATGACCACGCGCGTCACACGCCCCATATATATCGTATACATTACGTGCACACATGCGACAATGCGAATCGAAAGGGTTTGGTAAAGGTATACCCCTGCGCCCTTTGTCCGTCCACGCAAACTCGCGCTCTCTCCCCGAGAGTCTTATTGAATTTCAATTGGCTCTTGGCCATTCGCTCGCAAACGGGCCTCGAGGTGCCCAAGGCTTCCTTTCCCCCCCCCCTTTTTTTTTTTACGCTGCACAGCTCTCCCGTGTGCTTCCTTTCTCGCTGTTGACACCCTCCCTATGTATACACGTGCGTATAATGTATATATGCATCGGCAGGTTCTCTCTTATTTTTTTCCCTTTTTCCTCCTCCACCCCCTTACTTACCCTCGAATATAATCCGATATTGTTTTTCGCGTTCGGTACAATATATACAACACCCTCCATCCTACAATACACATGCGAGGGTCATTGGCGCGCGAAGCGAAAGCCGAGACCTTAATTTTAATTAATAGAGCGTATACCTATACACCGATATCCATTGTAATTGACGGCTACCTATATTATGTTGTATATACAACTTACATGAGGCACCGTCGCAGGACAATTATATAAGTATATACACATCCATCCGTATACTATATATACAGGTGTACAATAGCATGTAAGTATACGCATACAGCGCAAAAAGTTGTAGGTTTAATGAAAAAAAAACAAAAACAAAAAAAAAAAATTATACACCTATCGCATCTATGTTATATAGTTTTCCCCGCTCCCCAAAAGGGGGATGACTCATGTGTGTTCTTTCTTGAGCTGATGGGCGGTGATGGGCACGTAAAAAGCGCAATCACCCATTCCACCGTAAGTACATTCGTTGGATTTGGGCAGAGGGAGGCATGTACACGAGGGGGTGGATTGTATATATACGTATATTATACATTTGCCGATCGATCGGCACGTACAGGAATATATACCTACACGTATAATAGATGAATGAATGAACGAGAGCGACCCTATATACCTACATACGGTGCGCCGGTGGGGTGGAATAACGCGCGCGTGGCGTTAATCGAGCAGCAGAAAAAAGGAGGGTATGATGGATGATTGTTATTTACATTATACCTAAGGCAGAATAATGGGAGAAGAAGGGTCGTTTTGGATGCACGAAGAGCAGCCTCCGAAATATATATATATATATGTAAGTGTAGAGGGAAGAGGGTGGTTGTATAGATGGTATAGAGATCGTTACATGTATATAGAGAGAAAATAAAGATTAAACGTGCGTGGCTCCAAAAGTGTCCAACAATATGCGCATTGTGTGTCGTTGCACGCGTCCGTGTGTGGGACGTGAAACGATAGATATACATGCATACATGATGGGGGGGGGAAGGAGATGATGAAAAAGAGTATAGTGAATGGGAACTCCCTCCTCCGCGGTGGACGCGGTATTATATTATATAGTAACCACCCCGGGCACACGTGCATGCCAAGGTTTTGCAGGCGATAGTGCTGTGCTGAATGAAGGAATATTATGAATGTAGGTGTACACATGCACGTTCGTCGCCCTCTCTCTCTCTCTCTCTCTCTCTCTTCTACATCCAATTCATGTTATATACGCGCACATTCCATTCTCCCTTTTTTTTTTTCCTTCCGCTCCCTCTCGGATCCTTGCTACATACGTATATATAATACACTCTCGCTGCACTCGCTCCGCCCTCTCGTGAACCTATACCTACATAGCATGATTTTGATCGGTGCATCTATATAATATTATATAGTGTGTATTGTGCACAAACACATCTCATATAGGCTATATCGCTGTATTCTTTCAATCTAATATCCGCAGCAGCAACAGCTCACATGGGACTCCGGAGGAGTAGGCGTGCGACTATTCCAGCTTCCTCTTGGGAGGGAATAATAAAAAAAAAAAAAAAAAAAAAAACAAGAAAGCGAGAGAGATAAACTTTTCGCGCCGTATACGAGTTCGAACTTGTTTTCGACGCGCAGATGTAACCCAAACCCCCCATACATATTTTAATCTCCCTGGGGAGCCATATATACCTATACACATATTGCTCATGGTTTCCTGTGCAGCGTCCTACTCTTTATATAGATATATATGTGGGAGAGACGCTTCTCGCATGCTCGATTCAATTACTTAAAAATTTTAAACGATTTTTTTTCTTCTTTTTTTTATACATCGGTATACAGGGAGAGAGAAGACACTTTTTTTTTTTTCGCTCGGTTAAAAAATGGATTTTATTGAAAAAGGATTAATATATATATATAACTGGTGAGGGTAACCATCGTGATGAGTAAAAATATCAAACGTGCCACTCGGCGGGCTTGCAAGTCTTGTGGTCGAGGCAGACGTCGAAGCAGCACTTTAGCCACTGGCCCCCCGCGCCGCAATCGTCGTCCGAGGCGCATGGCTCGGGTGGACGGTACCACTCGTGGCTCCTGGGGCACTCTGCTCGTATTTTCGGGCAACCGGTCGTATCTTCGTCGTGCAAGCCGTGGGGATGATCGCCAAAGTGCCGCTCGTCCAGCCAAATCCAATCGGCGAGCGGCACCGAGTTGTGCAGGAGCAGGGACCACAAGTGGACCCAGGGCCGGTCCTTCATTCCCAGCCAGTTGGACCACCCACCGCTGCTTGGCTCGTCTTTTTTGCCGCTCGGGCAGCAGTAGTAGCCCTCGCCCTCGTTGTTCTTGCACCAGTACTTGCACGCCTTGGTGCTGGGCTTTCCGTTGACCGGACGAGCGTTCAGCCAAACGAGCGCTAGGGTGCTTGCGAAAATCTGTTGTTTTTTGTTCAAATTACATTACTTTAAAATATTGGATAAATATGTGCCCAATGAATGGTAAAACTCGATTGTGTATCAAATGTACCGGTTTACTTTTTTTTTTTTTTTAATTTATTTATTTAGAAAAAGAAACAACTTTTGCTAATTTACACAAATACACATCGGATTCATCTCAAGATGTATGAATCAAAGTATATTATTTTAAAAAAATCTACGCTTCAATGCTTAATTGCAACTCAGCTGCAAATCTCGATTTTAAAATGTTTCGTACATTTCGTACATTTATATTTTAAATTTGATCGCGGAGTAACTCATTGCACTCGCGTTCAATCTCTCGTTAAAATCGTAACTTATGGACATAAAAAAATTTTATTCATAACGATCTATATAGTTGAACGAACTCTTACGAAAATATAATTCCATCTGTTCACGTAATGCGATTTTAATTACACGTTTACAATATAATATCAATACAATAATAGTCAGTAAAGTGTGTCTAACCAGAGTAGGTACTCGCGCGAAATGCATCTATAGGCGCTTCTTGTATCCAACGGCAGGTTGGTACATGCCAACGAACAACCAAACATCGAACTGAGGCTAAAGGTGGATGTTCGCGCTTTTTTATACATACCCGCGTACACGGAGAAACGACACCTTTCCTACCATGGGCTTTCAAAGACCCGAGTTTCTCATCCTGCCACGAATCTAAGGCAAAATTCAATTGACACGGAAATAGTTGCATTGTACCCCCTGTCACTCTTAACTTGTCATAAAACGTCCGAGGCTTGACGAGATGCAGTGTATTGCATGTACACTCTGTTTAGCACTCGTCTCCGTTTTACTTGAGCGCAATTCCGTTTAACCAAGTCGCCACACGCGCACACGCTTCGATTGACTTATGCGCTCCTCGGTGCGTTACTAACTGCGCGCATGCTGGCCCATGAATTCTGCACGGGAAAAGGCTCTTTTTTTTTTTTTTAACGAAGTAGCGCATAGTGTTTTTTTTTTCCTCTGTATGGGTATAACAAGTTTTTGCCTTTCTATACATAAATTATGCGTGTAGTGTAGTTTTTTAAATTTTATTTACTTCTCTTTGCAAGAGAAACTGGCATTACGCATGTGTGTATTCCCGAAACAATTTTACCGGACGTTTCGTACCGAGTTTCGTGCGCATATAAGTTATGATCGAACTACCGGTTTGGACATTGGTAATTTTACTTGACCCCGAGTCTCGGCTACACGGTCGAATTTCTATAGTTAAAATGACTTTTTCCCATACTACGGCTTAACGGTAGTTTTAACATGCGGAAACAATCTTACTCGCATAGGTGTTCCCTCATCATTCAACAATACCAGAAGGTATACACGTATAAATGACTTCGATAAAAAAATAAGCTTCACTTGAAATTTCAAACTTAACGTCAGTACAACTGGCTTAGTTTAAAACAGTGATATAAATGCATCCTTCGGAAACATCTCTTACTCATGTACAAATTTGGATGGTCTTGTCATACTGGTCTTCGTGAAAACGAAGCGATCGCGGGTCTCATCTTATTTACAAAACAACCCATCTCAAGTTCTCGAAACAGTTACCAATAATTTATTGTCTCGTCAGAACGGCGTTCCATACACGTCAGTCAAATCGTGGCTCGCGGTTTCTTCTCAGTGTCACAAAATAAACACACGTACGAGTGCACGGTTATATATACTAACACGGGCACATTTTGTCGATCATACTCGCGAGTCTGTCGATTTCCTAAGAGGCCGCTGTCGTTCTCGCGGCCGCGGCTCCGCTGATGGCCGCCAGGGTTGGGGCGGTCGAGTCGCTGTTCTGCAGCTGCTTGGCACGCCGGCGTTTGTTCAGCAGGGGGTTGTTGGTCTGATCGAGTTGCTTAAGACTCGCGGTGTCGTAGTCGACGCGCATCGTCGCCAACGAACGGGTCATCTCCTCTTGTACCTCGGGCCATAGCTCCTCGCCCTCCCGCAGCACTCGGCCCGTCTGCAGGGGCGTCGGTGGCACTTCTGTGTGTTCCTACAATGCGTATATCGTGCGATTACACCAATGATATACACACGATGCAAATGAAATGCGATTATTAACGTGCGAGTGGACTTACGGCGATCCATTTGTTCTTCATTACGCCATCGATGCTCAGTCGGTGTTCAGGGTCGGTGCACAGCATGCTCTTGATGAGGTCACGCGCATCCGAGCTCACGTTCGACCACTCTGGTTCGGGGAAGTCGTACTGGCCCAGCCGGATTCGCTTTTTCATCCCCGGTGAGATGGCGAGGCCTCGATTGCTGTAGAAGGGCGGGAAACCACTGCACAGTATGTACCTGCACAGTAATGCCATGATCAGACCACCAGAAAGGGACACGAGCCAAATAGCAGTTAATAAAAAACTTTTGCATTGTGTTTTTTGAAAGAGATAAAACGTATCAATCGTAGTTGTAAAAATGTATTTCTCTCAAAAAGTCTTAATATTTTTTGCTGGAAAACTTTTTCTCTAGCTCTTCTAGAACGAACAATGCATCAAGTTTTAAAGAAAAAAAAGTATGTGTATGTATATGTACATACATGATTACGCCGAGAGACCAGATGTCGCAGCTCTTGTCGTACTTTTCCGAGCCAAGGACTTCGGGAGCTTTTTAAATAAAATCAGTCGATCGGTTAGTTTTTATGGAAGCAAATGAGTTGTTTACGAGGAAATGAAAAATACTCCCTTACCAACGTAATATGGGGTGTAGCAGGGCGTCTGTAGCGTGTCTTTGAGGTGGGTCTCTTTGGCGAAGCCAAAATCGGTGAGCTTGAGAATACCCATTGTTCCTGAAAATGATGATTTATTTTGGTAGTGTTAAAAAAAAAAAAAAAGAAGATAAGCACGAGCAGGTAAATCGGACATTTTAATTTTCGCGAGGCCAAAAGATTTCCTCAAAATCGGAATAAATACGCCAATCGTTGGCGTAATTGATTAATCGATCGACCGATTGCGCAACGTTGTGCGACTTCTGAGAACATGTGTTCGTTCACGAGTTGAGCAAACATTGGTTTAGCGTTGGATGTCTCACCTGGCTTCGAGTATAGCAAGTTCTCCGGCTTCAGGTCTCTGTGGGCTATGTTGTTGTCGTGCAGGTGTTTCACGGCGATGCAAATTTCATACATGATTTGAGCCGCTTCTGCGCAAAATTAGGACAAAATTTATGAGTTTACTTGCCTTTTCTACTCCACACAGAGATATCAATTTTATGAAGGAAAAATAAAAAGTATGGTGATTTACCTCTCTCCGTGAACGCGCCGTCCTGTCTTTCTTGTATTCTTTGAAACAGCTCCCCACCATCCATGCTGAAAGAGGTGCAAGGAAAAACGCGTTTACTACGAGATTTTTGTTATTTTATCAATTTCGTCACATTTTTTTTTCCCCCGAGCTCGCTTTGCACACGTAAATATACACGCGCGTGAGATTGCCGAAAACGCAAGGCTGAGCAAAATTAGTCAAGCATTGGCACAAATATACTACGCAAATTACAATGAAATGGCGAGATAAAAATAATCGTCACAATGTTATTATTGGCCACCTATAGTTATGCATTTTGTATGATAGTACGGTGTATCACGTCGGGGGCAATAATCGCACCAATTTTCATGAAACCCAATGCACATTAGACTCCACTTTGGAGAAAATTACGTGCACTCGCGAACGATTTGATTGGTCTTGGAATACAATGAGGAGAGAGAGAGAGAGAGAGAGCGCTTGACAAGAAAATGCTTTATTTAATCCAATTTTGGCTCGAAAATTACGTATGGATGCGTGTGCAAGAGAGAAAGAGAGAGAGGGGCCTCAGCGTCGAGGGGTTGTTGGACTCACCATTCCATGACGACGAGGAGACACTTGTTTCCGCCGTAGGTGTTCTCGTAGACGTCTTTCACGTAGACGATGTGCTTGCAGTTCGACGCGCGCCAGTGCAGTTCGACCTCGTTCCTCGACTTTGGATTGTCGTTTAAAACCTACATGACAACAACAACAACGTCCCTTAATTTACAGTATTAGCCTACCAAGTACTAACTGTTATCATTTAAAACTTGAACGAAATGACTTGGAGTGTGGCCTCTTTTCATCAATGGATGATAAGTTGTTTTTCGTTTCACTCATTGAATCGATTGAATTTTTCAACCCGACTGCAATCCATACGTTTAGGTAATATCGTAACGTGTGGCTTTTAATTAAAGTTTTATATAATAGCTGGTGGAAATATAAAAAAAAAAAAAAAAAAAAAAAACTACTTAGAGGTCATCGAGGCAATGATTAGAAATTTAATAATGCTGGGATGTTGAGTCATGCGAGCGTTTTCAGGAGATCAGACAATAAGTAGAGAAAAAATAAACCACTAAACATTTAAAAGATTTTGTCATTAAGAAAAACCAAGATACAAGAGTTTAGTCCACATAAAATTGTTTTCCTTTTTTTCTTGAGAACCCACGGCTTTGATTAACTTGTATTTTTAATGATGAGCGCGACGAGTAAGCGAATTTTCCAAGGTACACTCACTACACGTATAATACGTATAAAAGTTTACACGCAAATGCAAATCATCGACACTATACGTTATAATTATACCGTTTTAACGTACATAATATTATATACTGTCGTATCACATAAATTAGTTAGTTACCGTTGGTAATAACACGTTGAAAGAAATGTTTCGTTAAAACTGTGCAATCGATCGTCTTATCAGTCGAAGCGGGAATAAACAAAGAAAAAAAAATCCCACGGCGCACACGATTTGTAAAAACAAAAAAAAAAAAAAAAAATACGAGGGTGCGTATAAACGTGCGCTTGTGTACACACACATGTACCTATACTGTATAAGCGTATAGTTTAACTGTCCGGCTAAGATTAGATTGGGGTTTCTTTACTACCCACCAAACGCATGGAAAAGAGGAAAAACGAGTAACTTTTTTCTCGAGAGAGTTTGGCAGGATTTAAAAGCCAACACTCTCAGCCGACCCCGGATGAAGGTATATACAAATTTTATTTTTTTATTTTTTGTTATACCACAGGTTTTTTTCGTTCTCGCTTCGAAACACGCATGCGGTTTAGCTCATTACAATCGATACATGCAAGAAACTTTGTTTAACGTTGATTTTCCGATTACGTGTATCGATTTTATATTATCATGCCTTTTGCAACCTTATCAAACCCAGAAAATGACGGCATGTAATATACACTTGTATATCTGTTATCAAATCCGTGAGCATCGCAAGTCATTGAATCAGCGCCTCGATTCCGTCCGATGTCAAAAACGAGCACATTTCGTATGATACATACATATATATATTGGTATACTTAAATAGATGACCAACTAAACACAAAAGACTCCGTTAATTGCCGTTGTTTTAAAATACTTGTATGCATATATATATATATAGAGTATATACGCGGTCGCTCTTTTATTATGATGTGTGCATGTGTATAGATAAACACGAGCGTGAACGCCCAA